TTCTTCTGAAGAGTTTTGGTCCAGATTTTTTTAAATGTCTGGTTTCTTTCTTATTATGTCTTTTCACATATGCAGTTTATGTGGACAGAGATGACCTCTACCATAAAGTTCTTCAGGCACATGTAGGAAACAGTTACCTGTTGGAGGAACTGAACAGAGCCCAGTCTCTACATGATTTAAGTCATTTTGGATCCAGGACAAAGTACAGTCCTCACAAGGATAAAACCAGGTTGTCGAGCGTGACAAGAAGTGCAGTTACTTATGTTCACAAGCTGTAACAAACATATATTCAGCAGACACATCTTAAATACAGCAGTTAACTTTGCTTTTTAACACGAATATCTAATCGGTCAATCAAATAGCAGCATCTCGGCACATTCAAGCAGGGAGACGTGGTCAAAACAACGACCCGCTGAAGTTCAGGCCGAGGATCAGAATGAGGAAGAAAGTGTCTTTGAATGTGGTACGGTTGGAAGACAACACCAGGTGTCACTTCTGTCGGCTAAGATCAGGAAACTGATCAGCAAGTCACACATACTCAACAAAATTGAGCAATAGAAGATATAGAGGATATTTTCTTGCTGCACTTTGGGAGCCTTCCCACCAGCTGTTTGGATGGGAAAAGTCTGGATGGGTTTATAACGGGGGTAATCAGCATTTCCACCTCCTTTTTAAATTTTGCTTCTGATCAATATACATTGTTGATGCGAGTTTTGAGATCATTTAAAGGATGATTATTAGAGATTTTAGTAGTATTGGTAAGAACTGTTGAAAGTCGGGATTCAGAAAGTGGATTTTAAAACGGCTACAAAACGCTGCGGTGCTTAGACTGTGTAATTTATGTGAAAAGATGCTCTAAGTGTTGTATTTTAGTGTTCTTGGTTGTGAAATCACATATAAATCTAAAAAGATTTTTAGGAATGGTTTTGGCTGCTGATCCAGTGCAATGCACTTAAATGGAGCATAGCAATCCTTTTTTCTCTGTCACCTGCTTATGAGTCCGAAAATGTTTATGAAGTTTCATCTGTGAGACTAAAGGAAGCTATTGAACCTCTCTTTTTCAGGGCATTTGTTTACGTGGTAATAAAGATCTTTAGGAGGCACATGTCACTTTCTCACAGCTCTGCACGTATGTGTCTGTGATAAACGGATCAGTTCTTTCAGGATTCCTGGAGCAGAGCGTCTGCTGCTCATCAGTGTGTCGTAAGAGGATCTGTTAACTAGATGAAGGAAGAGGGAAAGCAGCAGAAACATCTTTAGGACTTTAGTGTTTTTAATTTTGTTTTAATGTCTTACATACACACTTACCAATAAAAAGCCTTTTGAAGTCGTGAATCGTCTTAAATTCAGCTCGGATGGGTCGTAAACGTTTTAATTAAAAGAATTTCCAGAACCCACCACCACTATTTCTACACACTGAGGTTTCATAAGAGTAGGTAACATTAACTAGCTTTAACTCATGCCTAAAAAACAATATAAATACAAAGAGGCACAAAGTTTGGCCTCAAGGTTTACGACACACCGATGAAAAACCCTGATGATGATTATATTGAAAAAGGCCTTGTTGGCCAGCCTGGCCTCAGGAAGATGTGAGTGTAACCACGAATGGCTTAATGATAAAGATTAATCTTGGTTTTAAAAGCTGGTGCCTAGAAATCCTCACGACGCAGCAGCACTAGTGTGCTGATGTCTTTTTTTTTTTCACCTCCTACACCTCATATCTTTTTAGATTTTTACTTAATACCCTGATTATTGCATTACATTTAGAATTATTTTTGACTGAGCTCTTTAAGTTTTTTCCTGCTTTCAGCTGCTATCCTTATTTTTTTTTAGACTAATCTAGTCTTAAATTCAGCTCAGACTTATTTACACCTGCAGACATTGCGGCGATGATGACCACTCGCTGAAGCTCCTGTGCAGCAGATGTTGTCTTTCCTTTCTCTTAGTCTGACAGACGTGTGCCCTGCCTGCCTGTCTGTCTGCATTTCCACCTCATAATTGTACGGTTGATAATTTCTGGCTGCAACTGGCCCATTATACCTATTAAGACTATCACTGGAGAGGAATGTGGTGCTTCAGGGGTGAAAGTGTTTTCACTAACCATTTGATTGGTGCTCAATTTGTGGTCGGCTTCAAAGAACCAACGGTTGCTGGTTCAGGTCCCCCGAGCGATGAATCATCCCCAAAAATGAACCTGACTTTGACTTGGATGTGGCGGCAGCTCTCGGTTTGCGTGTAGCGGGAGGTGGTTTTGTTTGGATTCTTTCGTGTTTTGCAGAAATTGTAATGTGTGCCAGACATTTTTAGAAGCTTCCGTTCACTCCTGCTCTGCTCCTCTGTGTGTCTGCAGGCCGACCTGTTTCCTGGTGCGCTCGTGTACTTCGGCTCTGATGTCAAGACAGGTTTTTGTCTGATTTCCTTCTTTCATATGCTGACTTGGATTAGATACTGGTGTATTATCGAGGAATGTAATGTAACAAAACAATAGCTTACATTGTCTGTGTGTGCGTGTGCGTTTCCTCCACAGATTTTTACATGAAGCGAGAACTGCTCGAATCCCCCGTCTCAGCCGTACAAGCAAACGAGTCCATTGCAAGGTATGTGCACGTGTCCATGTGTGTTTTAAATGTGCAGTTGGTTATGTGTGTGTGTGGGTGTGTGTATATATATGCATTTGTATCCCGCAGCAACCAACCTATTTTCCTGTCACAAAGCTGTCATCATTGGAATCCCTTTGAGGTTGTGCCTAAACAGCAGGTGCCCCCATGCGCCCTCATTTCCTACACACGCATACAGATTCTCTCTCGCTCTCTCTCACACACACACACACACACACGCACACCATTTTCCAGTCTGTCTAAAGATAGAGCCAGCTTCCCAAAAGTCAACCCCACCTGTTGTCCTTCAGCTTCATTAACAAGGCCTCTGTTTCAGATCACTATCTCGTTTAGCTTCAAGCTCAGGGTTAGTCAAACTTAAATTTTTCCAGCATGTGTGATTCCGCATAACTTTAGAAGTAAAAGACAGAGCTAGATTTTCATAGGTTTTAAAGATGAAAAGCCACATTTTTGCTTTTATTGACAAATATTTTCTTTCTGACCAACCTTGAATGTCACTGTGATGGAATACATCATAGTTTCAAAAGCAAAACTCCACCTATTTAAGCAGGATTCATGCTAGTGCACTGGGTTTATTGGTGTAGGTGTTATCCAAGGGTCTTGGTATGCATCCTACTCAGACATGGTGGTGTGCAGTCCTCCAGAAAACCAGCAGTGATGGTTTGTAGCCCAGTAAAACATATCAGAGTTCACGAGGTAGAGGGAGAAACACTGAAGTGTGAGAACGGACCGTGGCTGCACATCTCACTTCATCCCATTATATGTTGTAACTAATGTCTTCTCCATGGTTGATTGGAGGACCAACAGCAGTACAGGCAACAGACTAGTTGTTTCACGTTTTGGACGCTGCCCCCTGGTGACAGCAAACACCTACAACTTGTAGATGATGGTCTATGAAGTTATGCATAGGCCCGACACACAGCTAGGCCAGTTTCCAAAGAGATGTAATCATTGGTGATCATCTGAAGGTTTGATCTGTTTTTTGTGCTTTAGAACAGTTTTGTTTGGGTTTCAGCTTTCAAACATGCATATGATAGAGGTGGTTAGATCATATGAAAGGTATGCTGTCACTTTTTAATTTTGAAAGTGCTTGTTTGAGCGTTATTTCAAACTCTACTCTTTAAGAATTAAGTTCTTAAATATCGGCCACTTCAGTAAATGTTATTCTGTTTAAACGGTGACATAAACAGTCAGCAAGCCAGAGGTAATCCAGTATCGATATTCAGCTGATATATTGGTCTGTTCATACTTTGGTTATACATGATATACTCTCTGATCCAGCTGTGACAGGTTCAGGTGACAGAGGAAATTACAAAATGCATTTTATGTAGACAGTAACTGGAAAAACCACCATATGGGATAAATGGTTGGTCAAAACAAATCACTGTATCTGTAAGATTCCCCTTTTCCTACATTCACTCTGTTTCAAGTTTTCAAATTTAGTCGTATCTTTACATGATTGTAGTTTTTATCTATGAAATTAAGAAACAACATTGGTGTTTACATGTTCTTTATGATAGTTTAGACTTATTCGCTTCTGTCAGTGCGCCCCAGGGCAGCTGTGGCTACAATGTAGCTTGCCATCGCCAGTGTGTGAATGTGAGGGTGAATGACTGAATGTAGTGTGAAGCGCTTTGGGATCCTTAGGGACTAGAAAAGCGCTATACAAATGCAGGCCATTTACCATTTATTACACTGATCAAACAGCTTTGATCCGTGTGCCCGGATCACAGAGGCCCTCAGGATCAGTGGATGATGTCTCCATAGTTTGGCGAACATTCAGTTTGCGACTATTTTCCTTTGGCATAAGATGGCATGTTGCCTTTACTCACTTTACAACTAATTATGACTCAGACAAATGTGACAACTTTGTTCAGTGCAGCATCCTCTCATACTCACGTCATTGATTTTGTTCTCTTTTTTTCTTTCCCTTCCTACTTCAGCTGCATGCTCCAGTCCTCAGCTCCCTCCTCGAGCTCTGGTGGCTTCAGGGAGCCGCTGCCTCCCCCAGAGCCTACAGTGGAAGCCAGCGGATCCACACAAAACGAGGAAGACCCATTAACACAAACCCAGGCCGCCAAACCTGCCAGATCTGACCCGGGCAAGGTGCCTAAATGGCTCAAACTTCCAGGTCAGGACAGAAAATAGAGCACACATACAAAGAGAAAGGATCCGTGTTTAAGTAACACTGTTTTCTTTTAAATAAAGAAAAGACAATTACAGGTTACAAGGTACAATAACTGTTTCATGCATCTTCAACAGCACATAGAATCAACCCTTGATATCATGAAAGTGAGGTGCAGCCAAAAAAACATGGTTGATTTATTATTTCACCCCTTTAAGATCCTCTCCTCGTTCATCTATGGCCCGCTCTGCTGGACTGCTGTCATTTCACACAGACTTCAAATACATAAACATTCACATTAAAAATTTATGAGGAAAAGATTGAAAATTGATCTGAAATTAGTGAAAGAAACTCTAACATTCACAATCACACCTCTCTCAAATCCCAGTAAGCATCAAACAAATACCAGTTTGAGTCCTCGCTGTCGGTTTGAATAATTAAACTTCCAGTCCTGCACAAAGAAAACCTGTAGGCACAGCAGAACTGCACCAAACACGTTAGCTGCAAAAGCTCCTCGAACACATTTAACTCAGAAAGAAGCATTGCCCCCCACCACCCCTTTTTTATTTAATGTTGAGAAAGAACAGAAGGCTTTGAGGCACACGATTCATGTCATGGTAAACACACACACACACAAACCACAAAACCACAGCTAATAGGACATGGCTTTTTGAAAGCTGAATTTGTGATGACTCAGAGGATCAGGATGCATGTAAGGATGATCCAATTAGTTCAGGATGGTCACCCCCTCCAGCCCATGAGACCACTACAGACACTCATCGTGCCCAGGGAGAGAGCCTGCTGCCGGGCCACATCACACAGCACGAGCCCCTGTGGTCTGTCCAGTCCCAGCGCCTCTCTGTTGTTCTACTGTGGTTGTCTCTGGTGGTCACCGTATTGATGTTTTTGTTTGGTACATGGCTCTCTTCTTGTCTGTCTTCATCTTGTTTGTGTTTCTGTTCATTTTATTTCTGGCTGATCTCCGTGTGTGTCCTTCCGCATCTCTGAAGAAAGTCGTGGCTGTTTTGTCTTTCATGAGGAAAGTTAAAAGAAAAAGTGGGGAGGCTGAATCAGGAATTATAGATTCCATGTGTGGACCACTACAGAGGACACACACACACACACACACACACACAGAGCATATGAGGCTGGTTGGCATGTCTTCGTTAGTGTGTTCAGTAATGGGCAGAGTGTTTTGATGCTTTCCCGAGGATTCGGTATTAGAGCCAGCACACTTGTAGTGTTCAGCCTTCTGGCGTCTTTCTGGCCCTCGATTAAAGCCCAGCATCTTTTAAACTTCTTTTAAACTAAACTTCTTCTCCTTCCTGTTTCATGATGATCTGCCTTGTGTCGTGCTGACTGGATTTATTGCAGGTTTCATGCTGTGAAGGGTGTTTTGAAAAACAGCGCTGGGGTGGATGATACCAGGTTTGTTTTTAACTGGTTTTCATTGCATCCAGGCTCGGTGTTTGTGTATTGATCTGGACAACAAAGCGTGTTTAACATATTCAGGATATGTTTTCCTTATCTGCTTTAATTCACTCTGTCATTAATCAGCACATGAAGGCAATCATCAACTTTCTGCGTGTGCATTTTAAAGGACAAGTTACAAACAGTTTACTCCTAAATATCTCTTATTGATGCTTGTTGGGTAAAGAAAAAGCTTTTGATGGTCTCTGTGTGACTTCAGATTCAAAATGAGACCGTGGTGAGGCATGCTGTAGGAGTGACAGATGAGTTCAAGATGGGTGTGGGATCACACCCATCACATCGGGGATCTGTTCAGAGCCCCTTCTGTATTTGCAGTGATAATGGACAGGCTGACCGATGAGATCAGGCGGGAGTCTCTGTTGAATATTGTTTTTGCGGATGACGTCATGATCTGTAGTCAGAGGAGGCAGCAGGTGGAAGAGAGCCTATAAAGGTGGAGGTATGCACTGGAGAAAAGAGGAACGAAAGTTAGTCCAAGCAAGGCAGAACACGTGTGAAAATGAAAAGGCGGCAGGTGTAACAGTGAAGAGTTAGTGAACCTAACGAGTTCAAACACCTGGGTTCAGCCATTCAAAGCAACGGCCAATGCACAAAAGAAGTGAAGGGGAGAGTGCAGGCAGGATGGAGTGAATGGCAACGTTTAAAAATGACAGTGAGAGCAGCAGTGATGTAAGGTTGTGAGACAGTACCACTGATAAAAAGACAGGAGGCAGAGCTGAAAATGCTGAGCCTTGCATTTTTGATTGATTAGAACAGACAGGTTTAGAAATGAGTAGACATTTCTCAGCCCAGGGACAGCTCCAACTGAGGGTGAGGACGAGGTCAAGGATGGCCTCCGGCCCTGTGCTGCATTTTTTCGCCCTCTCTCCCCATTTTCTTGTCTCTCTTTACTATTTCACTATCCTATAAAGGCAAAAATGCCCCCCGAAAAATCTTAAAGATGTAGACACACAGTCTCAAGAAATATATATATTGAGCTGTAAACCAGCTGTTACTGCTGGCTCAAAAGATTTGCATGCATAGAAACACCACTTACTAACAAAAGATAAAATAACATGGTAAAAGAAAGGGACAAGGAGGAGGGGTAGCTAAATGGGAGCTAAGAGAAATACTGTGTATATTTTTTGTTGGCAGTGCGTTTAATTCCTGCTTTCCGTTTCTTCTACAGGTAAGAAGTAAAGCTTCTGCTGTGCTGAGGACCCACCATGACAGACTGATGCAACTTAAATGTTCGCTATGCTTCACTAGAGGCTCGGCTTTGTGACCTGCAGTGGATTTAATCCATCAGAGCTGAAGCCGGGGTTTTAAAATGGTTAAAATAATGATTGAAATGATTGAATGTGTTAATTGTCAAGAAGATCGGTGTGTTTGATTCCTGCTGAGAGAAAAGTGTAGTGCAAAGTGAATAAAGATTGATGAACAAATGTGTCTGTTGTATTGAATTTGAATTATGCTAGCACTTAATCACATGATGCCACATCTAGGTAAGTTTGATCAAGATCTGCAGTTAATATTTTCACCATCACCAGGGTAAAGGCTGAATATTATAATAATATTTCTCTTGTTATTTATTCGTTGCTGTCTACTATTCATATTTTATTCCAGTAAAGTTGGTGTGGAGCACCCACAATTTTCTTGTACATGTACAATGACAAGGGTTGTTCTATTCTATTCTACAGTTTGGAAATGCCACAAAGTATTGGATTCTGGCATTCAGAGAAGCAGAATAAGGAGACGACATAGGTTTGTGTTGTCTGTGCACCATCTATTAAAGTTGCTACCCCCACACACAACATGAAAAGCAGCTTTGATGATTCTCCATCTGCTTGCACTACACTGCAGCCCTCCTCACAGCAGGTTTAGCAGATAACAGGTGCTGTTTTAAAGGTGAAACGTCCCTGGAGGCTTAAAGACCTTTAGCAGGAAAAGCACAGGTGAGACAAATTTCATTAACGACTGCCCATTTTATGTAAGCGTTCCAGTGAGCTGCGCACTCCACAACCTGGATCGCTTTAGTGGTTTAGCAGTCATTCTTAACTGTGTTTCTCCTGCTGAGGTAAACTGTTGAATGTGTCTAGGGAGGGAACATTTGGGGCAGTTTTTGCAGTCAGAAAATCGATGGACTATTGAAACTTTCTCAGCACATGCCGTCAAGGAAAAGGAAGGACAACTATTTCACCTTGCAGAAGTTTAAACTGGTTTTCAAGTATAATAAATATGTTTTCTTCATTTTGGACGTTTGCAACATTTCTTAAAAGTTTGCAAACTCCTATCCATCCATCTTCTCCCACTTTTTAGGGGGTTAAAGAGGGGCTGGAGCCTGCAGCTCTCATGGGGTAAGAGGCACAGTAGACCCTGGGAAAGGTAAGGAAACTTGCAGTAACCTTCCGTGCTCTGGTTGTAAATCCAGCATGAAGGACAGAGGACAGTGAGGAATGAGACCTCTTGGTCTTCTGCTTTCTGACTGGTTTACCCCCACTGCCATTTCTTCTGCCCCAAGCAACCTATCACCTTTTGCAACGCATTTACCTTCAAAAATATCTTTCTTCAGTCCTCCTTCTCTCTTCCTCCTCGTCGTCTGCACTTCTGCAGGAAGCAGCGTATGACCACCCAACACAAAGCAGCGGCGGTCATCAAAGTGATGAGCAGGACAGCGCCTGTGTCCAAGCTGTGGTACTGGAACCAGTTCAGATTATGTGAAGCCAACCGCAAATGCCTAGCTCCACCATGTCGCATAACAAACTCCAACCAGAAGACGGCAGTATTCAGTGGCGTCACCGGCTGGTCGCGGTGCACCGCCGACAGACGCTGCATGCTGGTCTTGTAGCTGTGCATCATGGGAAACATACAGGAAGTCACATGGATGTTTCATTGTTAAACAAAAGTGCACTTTTAATGTGAAGGAGCAGGGTCAAACACAGGAAATCAAAATTTAGTAACAGGTCCAAGTGCATGGAGATCGGTCTTTGCACAGAAATGTACATAAAATAACTTTTTCACAGTATAATCACCCTTACCTTGGCTGGTTGACGATGGCATGCAGTGCTTCTGCCAGCTCCTCAGCTGTCACTTTGTTGAAGTCGAGGACGATGGCAGTGCCGAGGTGGCTCATACGGTTAAGATTATAAGACTGATCGCCAAACACCGGCAAGCCGACCAGAGGCACGCCGTGAAACACAGCTTCATACAGACCGTTAGTGCCGCCGTGAGTCACAAATGCTCGTGTCTTCGGGTGACCTGAGGGGGGAAATAAACAGAACTTTTATTGTGAAAGAACCTCACAAATATTTTTGAAAATGTGTTTAAATGAAGAAAAAAAATAGGCCGTGTTAGGCTCTTCTTTTGAAATCACACTGAGCTAAATCAAGGTGAAAAGGTTCGCTTTGACTGAAGAAGTGCTTTGAAACTGAAATTTTGAAGTTTTGCTATTTAAATTTTTTTTTTTTTTTAAATGTGTTTCAGAAAACAAATGAATTATTTTGTTGTGGGCGTGTATCAAGAGGAAGAGGCGGGGCACAGACTGATGATTGACAATTTATAAATGAGCAGTTTGGTTGAAGATGGCCACCACTTCCCAGGCTGATGGCAGCCAACAGGTAAACACCATTTCTGATTATTCTATGATGAAATATATTAACAGGTGAATGTTTGTAATATGTTAATATACATATATGTTTAAAAATATATTATGGCGTCTTTAATTTGCAACTAATGTGACACAGGAGCCGTCTATCATTAGTCTACGCCCTGTCCCTCCCCCTTGATACACGCCCACAACACAAAAGCAAGGTCAAGTCTGAAACTTAAAAAAAATTTGATTCTAATTATTTTAATTCATTTCGCTTCTTTTTAAAGACATTTTTTATTCATTTTAAACGGCACAATAATTTCAGTTTCTAATCACCTTTTCAATTTAAAAAAAAAAAAAACAACCTTCCATACAATCCTATAATAACATAAATGAGTCACACCGAGCAGATCGTTCTGAGGGATCCAATCAGAAATCTTTATGTTTGGCGCAAGTGCAGATGGAGCTTCACCACGGTGACGCCAAATCACCTGAAAGGAATGATATACTCATTGGTTCAAAGAACCAACAAACATCCAGGTAAAGTTCTTGCACTCAAAGCACTTTACTCAGCTTTCCTCATTCATCCATTCGTACTAGCACTTTTTCAATGCTTAAATGCTTTAAATACATTCATTCTGCAATGGATGCAGTGATATGATAACTGTTTGCCTGTGAGTGCCCTGACCTTCTGAGGGATTCGTCCTAAGGCGGTGGCGATGACGTTGGTGCGCTCCATCGTCAGATTGGGTACCATGGAGCCAAAAGAAACGACGACTACACCAGCATCACCTGAACTCTGCACAAAAGCCTCCAGGTCCTGTAAGGTGTGACATCATCATTACATCATCATTTAACTGTGTCATTTCAGAATACAAGTACTGTCAATGATCAGAGCTCACACCTCTGGCAGCTGATTGGCTGGTCTGCAGTTCAGACCACCCACGTGTTTGAAGTTGGGTGGGGTTGGCCGTGGCGTATCGATGTCCCAGAACGTCCTGATGAGCCACACGTCAGCCTTCCCCAGAGTCTCACACACACTGGTGGGAGTTCCTGTCCATACAGCAAATAAGGAGTATGACTTCAAAATAAAAGCTTGGATTAGTTTACTTTTATTCCTTATGCCTCATGAATTCAGACAGACGATGACATCACTATGATTTCACCCCTGACCTTTGATCTCACTGTAGTATTTATCCATCGTCAGCTTCCAGCCCAGTTCAGTTAGCACTGATGACGCCACATATGTCACCAAGTTGATTAGTCTCTCCGTGAACGTCATGTGGTCGTTGTACAGCACAGGAGCTACCGGGACATAAGACGGCAGAAACACAGCGTGGCCACAGTGACGCTCAAAAACACTGCCTAAGCTCAAGCGTAGCGAGATGACGAGCGGCACGCCGAGCACATCAGCCACCAGGTCGCCACACATTACCAAGGAGTCAAGTAGGACGACGTCGAAAGCGGCATCCCGCAGAGTTGCCATCAACTGATTGTTCTTTAGAATCCCGTCACACTGCTGCCTCCCGAAATCCAAGCTCCGCCCCATGAAGTCGATCAGCTTCATGGCCACTTGCAGCATTGAGGGGTCATGCATGGAGAAGTGGATGAATTCCTCAATGGGGCTCAAATATTCCTCCTTGCTGTATGGCACCTGCAGGGAAAAAACAAAACAAAAACAACCCCTGATCAAGTTATTGATTCTTGTTAAATATCAACACTTCAGAGTTCTTTTGATTCCTCATAGGGATCTGATGGAAGACAACACACTGCTCAGCAGTATCAGTTATCGCCTAGTAAGGGAGTGTTGTGAGTTCAAAGACAAGCACAAACAAATAATGAAAACAGAAAAAAAAAATTAAGACTGAGGTCCTATATCAGGAGGCTTCCCTGGTAGTGAACATTCACTTGAAGTAATGTTAAATCAATATCAGATTATCAACATTATTTTCATTTATTCAATGCTGAAATCACATTTTTACATTTAACATTGAAACAACAATGAAATCAGCATTAAAACGGGACTTTGCAGGTATTTCAATCAGTATCAAACCACTGCAAATCATTTAAACCTGTGGAAAAAATATTATGCATCATGTAAAAAAAAAAGGATAAACATTATCTGTAAACCATTCTGTTACAATTTAACAATTTTTAAGCATAAGGGTTTATCTAATATAAAAATGACAATGGACATCTTTGCATCACTTAAGAAAAAAGTTTATTTTATGAAAACATTTTATTTTATTTAACATATTACTTTAAATTCCCTGTTTTTTGTTTACACCAGGATGGAGGTGGATATCTGGCGTCCTGCACCACCCAACCAATCTGGAGCACTGCCTGGGCAAAGGAAAATTCAGAAACTCAATTTACCCACACCTGCTGAGTTAGGCCATCTAAAATAAAAAATTAAAAGCACAAGAAAGAGAGGCTCGTCTGAACTCAGATGATAGCCTCTAGCCAAAACTCTTTAGCAGGGAGAAAGTCGACACACTACTAGGCATATTATCATGAAAGGCAGACAGCCTTTAGGGAAGAAAAGAGAGACTGGCCCACGTGCTGTAGTGTTGGAGTGCCACAGTTTAACAGAAGGTGCGAGGAACAAATTACGGCATTACTTTGTTAACCTGTTGACTATATTCCAAAGTGATAAGAATTAACCAAAATATTGCAATCAAATGGCTTTCACCTCCTCTTATTGGATCTTCCTATGATGATCTGCTGCTGTATGTACATACAGCAGCAGATCATCATTAAGCAGTTTAACCAAACTGTCCAGCGCATCCTTACTGTGAGGCAAAACCTCAGCATCAACAGGTTCAGTGGAGCAGGACTGACAGAAGCCTTTGAACTCTTGATGGAGGTCCCTTGCTTCTCTTGTTAGTTTTGTCACCATGATTATCAGTTTTTGTAAGGCACCGTCTGTTGACAAGAATAAGAAAACTGAGAAATACTGGCTTGAGACGTTTAAGTAGTTTCATCTGCTAAAATTGCATACAAGTTTCTCTTGTTCACTTATGAATAACATCCTATGTAAAATGTCAAAATACAACATTTTAGGACTTTAAAAGTTGCCTCACAAAGTTTCTAGAATCTAAAAAGAGTCAAAATAAAAGGATAATTGAGAAAACTGAAGTTGGTGATTAATCTTAATTTGTGTTTTAGTGGTAAAAATTATAATGAAATTGTGATGAAACTCTCATTTTCAAATACCTTTGGGATAGATACAGTGAGATGCAAAAGTTTGGGCAACCTTGTTAATAGTCATTATTTTTTACATTTTTTATTGTAACAACCAACGATTTATACAGGAAAATAATGACTATTAACAAGGTTGCCCAAACTTTTGCATCCCACTGTACCTTTGAAGACCATAAGTCACCCAAAACAGCTGTTATATTAAAATATCATAAAACCTATGTTGATAATACCCAGCATGGCTTATGAGAATTCTGACTGGTTCATACATTTGCCATGATACGTTGGGATCATTGTCCTCTTCATTGCAGCGTGGACCTTGGATGTTTCTCGAGGAAGATATGGGGGTCATGAAAGCTCCTCTGTCATTATCCAGGAGCTAGGAACAATTTTTTTTGTCACTAATACTGACCTGCATAATGCACCACTTCATGTTTTGTTTTTTTAAGTTATCTTGTCTATGATAACTAGGGGGAAAAAGAATAAATAATGAGTTCATTAACTGGCTTTAGAGCTTGATTAAAAAAAAAAAGATTAATGTTTGACAAAGATGGCAATCAATGTTGTGCTGTCAGGGCATAAAGGATATTTTCTAGTAAAGTTTTGGAGCTTTGTTACACCAAGCCTGCAGTTCAACCGCCACACTCGGTAGCATCCAATTCTGGGGGTACTGGAAGTAAGACTTGTTATACAAAACCTTCAGAAAAGTATTAGCATGTTTCAGCAGTGCCATCTACAAATTGTACTCCTTAAGACAAGGTGCACTTTTCAGTTACTACCTTTCTGTATTGTTCTGAATGGCCTATCTGAGCCACAAGTGCATCATAATGCAGGTGCAATAATCTGTGTCCTTTTTTCAGTTGTGACACCTTTACATGAAGTTTTTCTGAAAACCTTTTCACAGTTTGTTCTAAAAACAAGTGAAGCTTGTGCAAGAAATTTAATTTTCATAAGGAAATCCTGAGAGTTATCTAAAGGCCTAAAGAGTCCACCAGCTGTATCCAAACCAAAATGATGGTATTCCCCACCATCCATGTTTTATCGCTACCATCCATCTTTGGGTAATTCTGGGTGAAACACATGCAAAATGCCCAGGACTGCAGTCAGAGCCACTAAAGAGACTGAAAATGTTGAAGCACAGTATTTTAAACTTGTTATTAGGAACTCAGTAGTTGGAGCTTCAGCACCACCATCAGTATCAGTATGATGTGAATCAACAGCTGATGTACAGCAGTCGTGGGCTCTGTCCAGTGATACAAAAGTCTCACTGACTTCTGAACTCAGCCAATAGTTCCTGCCATTTCGTTTAACTGGTGGCTTGTCTGCAACTGAGTGACAAATGTCTGAAACACCCGACTCCACGCCAGCATTGACCTAAAGTTGCACCTTGTTGACCAATGTAATTCCATTATGAGTGCTTTTAAAAACCAGTTAAAAACTCTTCTATTCAAACAAGCCTTTTGTTGATCTACGTATTTTATATTCTTTACATTATTTACATTTAACCTCTTACATTGTGTATAACGTCTATTGATTGTACTGTTTATTTTAATCTTTGTGTACAGTGCTTTGTGACTGCCTGTCTGTGAAAAGCGCTTAATAAATAAACTTTACTTACTTACTTACTTACTAGTAGTGTTGTGCAAGTTCAGACTTTTATAACAAAGGATATTTTAAGGACTTGTTTATCTTACTGTGAATAACTGGAATCTGAAATAAGACAATGAAAAGATGTTAATAAAAAGAGCGAGAACATAAAATTCAAATACATACTAATTACTTACACATTATCCCCCAGACGTTTCTCGCAAATTCCAATAAAATTTCACCTTCACAATTCCACCCCTATAATACAGTTAAAATACTCTAATTATCTGAGTGTTAGGTTTGTTTTAATGAATGAGCCCTGAGAATTAATCTAAAGAACTGCTGCTTTATTTCCATCGTTCCACTACTAGTATCTGTGTCTAAGAGCTGACCTGTCAGATGTGTAGAAGAATACACAAGTTTAAAGTTACCCATTGTGCAAGTATTACTAGCTTTTGCCTCTGAGCAGTGCTGTGTGTAACCTTTTCATTATTAAAGTCAAAGAAAATAATATGATAGACACCTGTGTGCAGCATCAATAAGTTTAAACTGTTTATTTAAAATCCTAAGAAACTAGCAGGGTTGGCTCTACATTTCAAGGCTGTTGATAACAACTATCGATAACATCGTGTAAATTACGGTACAAAGTGCGTAATTGTAAAATAATAAAAACGTAGTTAGAAAATAACATTTTGAAGCAACTTTATAGCCAGCCATTATTTTTTACTTATCCTCATCAGGGTCACGGGTGTGGGGCTGGAGCCATAGGGCGAGGGGTGGGGGGTACACCCTGGCTAACAACTTTATAGCATCACTGCTAATATAGCTAGCTAGCTTTATGGAAGGAAAATTCTGAAAATTATGACATGAAAATGTAATATTTTCTCAGATATTGTGTTGTCTAAGAAAAGCATACTTTTCGCCTTCTGTTTAAGCTAACTTGCCCTACTATGGGCTAATTTTAAAAATATTTTTATGCTATGGAACCAATTTAGGTCTAACTTTCTAATAAACTTTTTAAAGGTATTAAATAAACTATAAACGGCAAGAAATATTCACTTTTTTCCAATTCAACTTTAAAATAATGGATAAAATCCTATATTCTTACCTGATATATTGAGCGTGGTGCGGTCCAGTGAAGTGCAAGGCTGACTACTATGGTCAACTATAAATGTTTTCAATAGCGGACACATGGAATGTACCACTGTGAGACGGGTGCTGCTGCGGAATAGTTCAGGTAACAGCAGCTTTAATTTCCCGATTGCTGTCACCTGGTCAACTATGAACAGATCAACAATCAACTATAACGGCACAACGATGAATCAGTGTTATTCTAATGTCATTACTACTACATCGCCATGTAGCTCTGACGTCACGTAAGAACTACTGCTTGTTATATGGGTTTCCTCGGAAAATCTGAAACCGAGTAAGATCTGAAGCCCTGGATTGTGTCTTTCAGTTCTGAAGAGTTTATTCTGCTTTTCTGATCAATCTGAGTGTCTTTACTTTTCTTTCTGTTCTCCGTCAGACTACAAACACGCTGTATAACCGCCAGTGTTACCTTGAAAACCAGGAAGTTGAACTTGGCGGCGTCGCGGCTGTTGTTGTAGTTGACAGTAGGCGATGCATCGGGCACTAGGATGGTGACCGAGTGGTTTTTCTTCACCAACTCTTCTATGATGATTCGCATGTTCAACCAATGGCTGAACTCTCCCGGAAAAACCAGAGCATGGCCTCCGTGTACTGGAGCGACAGAATGAAGGAGCAGAAGGGAGAGGGGAAGAAGAAGAAGAAGAAGAGGATACGTGGGAACCTGCATCGTGTGTGAAACAAAAAGAGCCCCAGTGTGTGAGAAAAAACTAATGTCAGATTGCAGCTGCAGGTCCGGAGTGTAGTCTGCCTAGAGGTCAGCTACGGGTTAAGAGCTGCACTCTGACTGGACGACAACACACTGTGATCTACAATTGTAAAACAAAAAGAGGGGCATGCCAAGTCCTGTGTACTCTCACATTCCTTAAAGCAACAGTTAACTTCCTCTGAGCCCATGTCACCTGAAAACACAAAACACGTTTAGATTCTTAGTTCCACTCACATTTCCTCTGATTTCTCTGATGTTTATCAGCCAGTACTCAGTTCGGATAAAAATATTTACAGTAGCTGACTCTAACCAAAGCCTCAGAATTGCATTTCATATCTGACAGTCTGTGAAAATATAAATAACACCACTCAGAGTAACAGTGTTTGCTGAAAACCCTCTTCTGTGTGACCAACTGTCAGTAATATTTAGAATAGTGAGCAACACAGCACCCAGGAAAAACTCCAGTACTGAAGATTATTTCGAAAATCCTTTATTTTTACAGGTTTCTTACTGAGATCAGGAGCTTTATACCTCTGAGAATGTTCTAGTGGAATGGGAGAGCTTTATGGGAGCTTTATGGGCTTTATGCTTTAGTGTGAGACTGTTTCTGTACAAAAATCCAATTTTAAATTTAGAGTTTTGATATGTATTCAGCATGAGGTTTATAACTGTGAAAGGTTCGGATATAAACAGATGGGTAGAAATCCTCAGGTAACCCCATCAAATGCATTACTCAGTTTCATCAGAGTTTAGAACACATTTATGATAGATTACAGATTTATGACGTTTATTAAAAGCACATTAGTTTTCCATCAACCAAATAAGGGGAAGAACCAGTAGTGTAAAAAACACTGTCGCCAGCATAAAAATGTACATTACCTCAGTGTAATACTGATTATGTCAGTAACAAAAGAGATATAAGGATGGAGCCCTGTGATTGAAAGAGAGCCTTAAAAACATTGGAGACTGAGTTCTACCAAACATGAAGCCATTTAATGCAGTGTGTTAATCTGTGTCCAAGCTGCGCCACTGTAACTAGATCAGGTTATATGCAGACGCCGAGCTTCACCATGCTGCATCACATACTCCACCCAGAAAACAGTGGGATTCATTTGCGTCACTGTCTGGTCATGCACCGCCCCTCCCTGAGCCCAGTTCTGTTGGAGGTTTCTTTCTCTTAATAGGGAGCTTTTCTGTCACCAAAGTGCTTGCTCATAGGGGATCATATGATTGTTGGAGTTTTCTCTGTTTCCTTTGAATTATAGGGGTTTATATTGTAGGGTCTTTACCTTACAATATAAAGTACCTTGAGGCAACTGTTGTTGTAATTTGGCGGTATATATAAATAAAACTGAATTGAACTGAATAGATCTCCCGGGGGATCAACAGACGGCTTGGTGCTGAGGCTGGAGTGATGCAGATGCTGTACCGGTTTGTCGTGGTGAAAAGAGAGCTGAGTATAAAAGCAAACCCATCCATCTTCATCCGCTTTATCCGGGGGTGGGTCATGGGGCAGCAGCCTAAGCAGAGAAGCCCAGACCTCCCTCTCCCCAGCCACCTCCTCCAGCTTATCCGGGGGAACACCAAGGCGTTCCCAGGCCAGCCAAGAGATATAATCTCTCCAGCGTGTCCTGGGTCTGCCCCGAGGCCTCCTCCCGGTGGGACATGCCCGGAACACCTCACCTGGGCGCCTCCTGGGCAAACCACATCATATATTTGTATCATTATGTACAGCTACTTTAAATACCATATTCATTCAGTCTTTAAATTCAACTCTAATTGACCTTTCCTTCAAACTACTGCTGTCTACTATAGCCCACTTCTTCAAGACTAATGTGATTGTTAGGAGAAAAACCAAGTGATGTACTGATGTCCCTGAGTTGCAGTGTTGTGGTACAGAGTGAGGGCTCAGAGGTGAACGAACAGTCCTCTTTTACTGCCAACAGTGGGACAAACTGAGTGAGAGTACACTGCTGGGATGTGGACTGAATATCTGTCAAATATCAGTGCTAACGCTAATGTCAGGACCGCGCAGTGATCAGTGTATTTATGCTGGATAGCTAGTTACCTAGCACCGTTGCAATTAGCTAAAATGGTCATTCACTCTGGTTTTTGCTGCTGCTCCTCATGAGTGCAAAAGACCAACAGACCATCACGCACCAGCAGGTGGAGACACAGACTTAAGGACTGATCTGTGGCTGCTGCTGTTCATGAGGTGGGCAAATATTAACATTTATGGACTCAGGCTGTTAATTAGAATAAATAGAAAAAACACTGAAGCAACTTCATGATATTGTTTAAGTAAATCTGAATCTCACCTGCACAAGTTAGATTTCACTGTAGGATCCTTTTACTCCCCAGTGACATCATCGTACATGTCCCCAAGCCTCATTTTTCACCCCTCTGATACAAATATTTGTCTTCAAATGTTTCATAAATTCTTATAGGCCCGTCTCTTTGCTACCACAGTTCTCTTCTATACTGGAAAAGATATTTTACAATAGAATGTATCACTTTCCCACAAAAAACAATGTACTGCATGAAAAGCGGTGTGGATTTAGACCCAAAAGAACCACAACACATGCCTTAACGGAATTTAAAGATACAGTAACTACTGCTACTGAAAACAAAGAATATGCTATCTGGAGTTTTTTAGATTAAAAAAAAAAGCATTTGATAAAGTCAATCACAACATTTTACTTAAACTATGCACATATGGGGTCAGAGGGGTGGCATTATCATGGGTTAACAGTTCCCTTAAAAACCAGAAACTATTTATATAAACAAATAAATGCCATAAAATCAAAATTGAAACCTGTTGTATGTGGGGTTCCCCAAAGATAAGTTTTGTACATTATTCTATATTAATGACATATGTGCAATTTCAAAGTCTTTGAAAATAATATTATTTGCAGATAATGCGAACTTACTGTACTGTGGAAGTAACTTGGAACAACTTCTGAATGAACTATAAAACAAATAAATAATCTGAAGACTTGGTTTGACCATAATAAATTAACACTGAACATGAGTAAAAAAAAAATCATGATATTTGGGAATTGCACATATTCTACAAATAGTAAACTGACAATAAATAACTTTGAATGCGACAGAGTATCTGGGGGAAAAAATCCGTGGTGTGATGATACATCACAAACTATCCTAGATTCACTTATATTAAAGGCAAAATATCAACGTCTCTTGCAATTCTCTACAAGGTTAAGGATCTCATAAATCAAACATCATTATATACGCATTATATGTATTGTTCTATTATACTACCGTACATGCTATATTGTGTGTGGAAGTGTAGGGAAACACCTGTAAAACACACACCCATCCAATATACATTCTGCAAAAAGAGTGATAAGAACACCTGTACAGATGAAGTTAAGAAAAGTACAAAAATACACACATTTGTTTAGAAACAATAAATTGCATGAATATAGACTTCATCCTCTCAGTGATTGAGCTGTCTCATTGTTTTCTATTGAAGTCTTCTCCTTATTTTTATAGATTAAGGCAAGAGTAAATTAAAATATTAATTAAGGTATTTTTCACATGGATATAACTCCATATGAAGCAATGTCAAACATAACTAGTAATTAGTTATATTTACTTCTTCGAAATAAACTATTCTATCTATCTTACAGCGTTTATCATCCATCTGTTTTAGTCTATAACTATAATTTCTTCTACCTAATCCTAAACACTGTACATAAGGTGTGCTTGCCGACAAACAACCTGTCAATCACATCTCGTTTGCCAATGAGTCTAAAGCATCTCTCAGTTTCTCAGCCAGATCCGCTTCTTGTTCATGAAACCAACTCTCTAAATATCAAGATGAATAAGGTGAAAACAATTAGCTGAAATCTCTTAATGAGACTTCAACAACCAGTGGGTGATGTTACAGCATTTCCATCCATCTATACCTCATCCTGGCAATGACTAGTAGTGCCTAAACTCTTCAGTTATTTGTTATAGTCAAGATTTATTTGGTTAAATGCAAACACTGAAAAAACAAAAATGAAAACAGGATTTCATGATGTCTGCAGCTTTAATAATAAGGACAAAAAGTTACTTCTGCCAGTGCAGCACTTGGGTGTTATTTTCACCATGCATGACAGAGGAGACCTGAGGGCCCTACAGAGCAAGTTCAGCAAAGCCAGACTTCCTTTGACTCGACAAAACCTAAAAACTCAGCCAGAGACAATAATCGGTATCTCAGTAGTGTTTTTTTTTTACTTTCTGTATTAACTTAGGCTTTCTGCTTCATCATTAGCACAGTTGCTGCTGCTGCCCATCTTCTTTCTGCAGTGTAGGACACAAGTCAACACTTGGATTTAATAAACCGCTTGCTTCAGCAGAGAATCGTCCCCATAAAACATACTGTAAATACAAGATTAGGTATTTTTTAAAAATGCTCTTCCACATTATTTTAAATGAAACTGAACATAATAAGCTGCCAACAAGATTACTATGGTAACATAAGTTACAATTTTAGCTCAGCCAGGTAAAAAGAGACCCACCTTCATGACACTGAAAACTCTGACTTTAAGCTCAACATTTAAGCTCAACATAGTTAATTAATGAATTAATCTCACTCTGAAATGAGCCCAGGCCTGCTGGGTAACTAGATAACATCTGGCTTTTATGTCAGCTGTAATAGCTAGACTGACAATGTATTACATATTTATTCATATTTATATACCTATTTCCAACACCAATATTCAGAATGATTGCCTGTCATGTTTTATTAAATCAAGTCCATATAGTAATAAAAAAGAATAAATAATGATTTTTTTTATATTTTAGGATATATATATATATATATATATATAGAATATTATTGAGAATATTATTTAGAATGTTTTATTTTGTACTATTGCTACACTTAAAACTGAACCCTTTGTGTTTCAGTCCTTGAGACTCTTGTTTGCATGTGAGTACCAGGTCACTGTGTTTCTTCCAGAGTGGAGATCATCTTAGCATGTGGGGACTGTGTATATCCTCCATGTCATGGTCTTTGGTTTTGAATTTTTATTCCCGAGTTTTATTCTCTGCCTGGGTTTGTTCCAGTTGAGGTCTTAAATTATTCTTAGTTTAATTTGTTCTTT